AATTGATATTACTTGAATGTGATTGAAGTAATTGAGATAATAGATGAACTGTTGATATTGATGATAAAATATTTGTTGAATTTGAATTTGTTGTTGATGAAACAATAACAGGTAGATGCTTAACTGGATATCGACTACGAACTCCTTCAACAACACTAACTAATGTAGCTAAATATGGAACTGATGTTGGTATTACTTTAAATTTATCATGAGATTCAGATTTTGAAATAATACTAAGAAGAGTTGAAAGAACACGAGTTGTACGAACAACTGTTGATTGAACTGGATGACGAAAACTTAAATAATGTTATTTATTACACTTAAACAATATTCTATTACTAGCAAGAGCCCATGCATACTGCACGGATGCTTTTTTTCTAATAAAGTTTCACATCTATCCTTTAGTCTTGATTCGGCAATAGACAATCAGACAGTTCGCATTACATATATATATATAGAGAGAGAGAGAGACCTCATAGTCTTACTTCCTGTAGCCTTATACTCTTGTGGTATTAATTCTTATAGGCTTATTCCTTTATTCCCTTATCCCTTATATCCCATGCAGCATCCTCTACTTATCTGCTATATCTTTATCTCCTTATACTCTTTTAGCTTTATAGCTTATGCTCCTGTAGCTTTAGCCTCTTATTCCCTTACCAACTTATAGCCTCATATTCCTGTAGCCTTATCTCCTAGCCCTTATAGCCCTTGAGAACCTATGAGTACCTCCATATAATAGTCCATGAGGACCTATTGGTATCCCCATAATGTAGCCCTTGAGGACCTATGAGTACCTCATAGGACAGCCTTTGATGACCTATGAGTATCCAAATAGGATAGCCTTTGAGGAGCTATAGGTACCCCCATAATATAGCTCTTGAGGACCTATGAATACCCTACAAGACAGCCCTTGAACACCTATGGCTATCCCCCATAGGATAGTTCTTGACTTATGAGTACCTCCATAGGATAGCCTTCGAGGACCTATGGACACCCCTAATATAGTATCCCTTGGCGCCTTCTCCTTATAGCCTTATTTGACTTTTAACCTTTGACCCGGCACAGAGAAAGACACACACACTAAACATTATATATATATAGATTTTTCCAAGGAAATATTCAATCATCGTGTTAGTTAGTGAATTCGATAGGAGTAAAATGAATGATATTTACCTTTAATAAGATGTCTAACTAATACAAAATTAAAATTTTACTTAAAAGATAAATCCATAATAGCATCTAGTTGTTTAAATTGTCATTATTATGGTTCTCTAGCATCCATCATTATTCTTTCTAATGTTTGTTGTTGATGTGTATCTGTATTTTCAAATAAATTTAATATATGATGA